TGGGTAATGTGTTCCAGGTGCAGCGATTTCATTAACTTTTACTTCCAGATTTTCGACCTGGAATTTTGGATTATTATCATTGATATCAATGATTTCTATTTCTATCCCAAAAAGTTTTCCTCTGCCCTCAACCAGGATATTGATATTTACTGGCCACTGTGTGCTCTGAGCGCAGAGTTCCTCCTAGTCTATCCTGCCTGCAGTGACCAAGACAAGCCACTTTGCAGGTTCAGAGCGAAAAACTGAGTCCTACTTCTGGAGACGATGCAGACTCCACGGTCCACCAGCCCCAGATCCTTGGAGATATTTCCCCAGGATATAGCCTTCTTCTGTCTCTTCAGGTGCCAAGTAGTGGATCTGGCTGGCCCTGGTCTCCCATAGCCTCCACGGGCACAGCAGAACCAGTCCTTTGCAGTGCGGGCAATTCAGTGGAGTGGCTGTTGTTGCTTCACTATGGATATTGTTTTTCAGAATGCTTTCTGTGCAAACTGACTTCTTAGGTTCTTTAACCTCCTGCAAATTATGATGATCTTTTTCCTAAGGAGAAACCAGAGTGCCCCAAGAAGGTGAGTTTTGTGGCAGCTTTTGCTGAGGTTTGTGGGCTCTGTGGGACTCTGTGTAGTTGCAGATCTGAACAGCTGGATGGAGAGCTGATTGAACTTTTCTTAAAGTTGGTGAACAGTGGCACTCGGAGTCCTAACCTGTCACTACATGCACTGAGATAAGTAATGCTTGATTATAGATAACCGAGAAAGACAATACTCTTCTAACTATGTAGACTTGTCTCACTGTTTCTTGCATTCTCATTTCAAAAGCAATTACCATTTTGGAATGTTAGTTGAAAATGAAGTGGAATGGAACTTCTATTAAATGTATTGTTAAACTGCCATTTTTTCTTAACATCAAATTAACTTATTCTTGGTAGAATTTTGCTTTCTTTCTAGATATGTAAATTATTCTAACTTCAGTTTTATAATGTTTCAAAAATTTTCTGTATGTCATTATTTTCTACAGTAACCACAATGTGCAATCCTCTTTGGAAACAGACTTCTTCTTGGTTTTATATATACATGGATTATTCACTTTGAAGTTATTTTATAAGATTAATTTATTCAGATAATGAATTTGCTGGAGTAAGTTTTCCTTAAAATTTCATTCACAAAAATAATTTTAATAAGGCAACAGTAATAGCTTCTCTCACCTAATACTGCTAAATTTTGAAAGGATTGGTTTTTTAAAGTTACATATTTGTGAATGTTAAACTTTTATGCTGGTTTAATTTTTTGTACTCTTCTATGTGAATACATAATGCATACACAGGTTATGGCATTTGGAATATTCAAATAAACATATATTGAAAAGCAAGTTTCCACTTCAATACTTCCATAAAGAAAATATGCAGTTCAAAGTAGTCTTAAACTTCTTATTGTAAAGGTCACTTAAATCTGTAATAATTAGAGAAAAAGAACACAAGATGTAGAACCAATTATTACCACTAAAAAGCAAAAAGTGCCATTATGAGAAATTCTTACAGGGGCACCTGGGTGGCTCAGTCAGCTGAGCATTCAACTCTTGATTTCATTCAAGTCATGATATTACAATTCATGGGATTGAGCCCCAAGTTGGGCTCTGCACTGACATCAGGTAGCCTGCTTGAGATTCTCTCTCTTTCCCTTTCTCTCTACCCTTCTCCACCTCAATAAATAAATAAACTTAAAAAAAAAAAAAAGAAAT